AAATAAATTGGTAATGCCATAACTTGTTACCTACAATATGCCTCTTTAACAGGCATTTTAAATTAAGCTGGTGGACAAAACATATATTTCATGTCTTAGTTTCAGTTTTTGGAAAGTTTTATATATTGAATCTGCTAACACTGTCATATTACATGTAGAATTGTTCCTTTAAAAAAACTTGCATATACTAATCTGATAATACTAATCTTTTTTTGTCACCTGTAAATACCCTGTGTAAATATTTTATTGCTTTGGGCGTTAAACCAAACCATGGGCCAGTTTTGTGCTATATTATTGAAAAAAACAAACCTTGCTTCATTCACCCTTATGAATGAACCATTGCTTGCTCATACTGACTACAGAGAGGTTTTAGTTTATTGATCAGTGGAATGTACCAAAAGAGTTTCTGTTTGGCTGCCTAAATCTAATTTTGTAATTGAAAAATAGTAAGGAAAATATAACAAATAGATAAAAATAGACCTTATTTTCGCGTAGCTAGTGGTTTTAATATTCTGAACAGTGACAGTATGAGGTACGATCACTGATGATAGTAGTGGAATTTTAAATAGTTGCTTACTCGTAGATAAGAAATATTAAATATTTTGTCAGAACAAATGCTATAGCCAAGTAATTTTTGCATATATATATAACTGGGAAATCCCTACAGCCGGTATGACTGGAGAGCAAAAGGGATCACATCTAATCCTGCCAAATATGTTATTTTACACTGCGGATAAAATAGCTGCTCTCTGCCTCATGAACAAGACCCACAACTTGCTCATTCTGGCGCACTGAAGCAGCACGCTGAGCTCAGCTTGTCGTGCATGTGCACTGGGCATGTGTTTGTCTTACGACAGTGAGTAAAGTCCTGCCCTGAAGTCTCACATTGCCGGGGGGGATTAGGAGCCAGTTTGACTGCCGATGACCTGCCTGCTCCTTTACAAGGAAAAGATCAGCTATCAGGCTGTTCCTGCTTTGTGCCCTGCTGTTTGAGGGGTGTGCTAGGGATTCCTCTTTAAGTGCACATGGGTTCACGGAGCAGTTGGGGGTAAAAAGAGGAGGAGGTAAGACGGGAGGGAAGTCTTTTGGGCATCCTTAATGTCGTCATTCTCTCCCCCTTAAAAAAAGAAAAAAAAAGAAAATGAAAAGAGTGGACGTCATCGCTCAAAGCACCCTCAAGCCCTGAAGAGGCTCATACTGTCATGTGTGCTGTGACCAAAGAAGAGATATTACGGCCACAGGGACTGCTGCGAGCATGAACCAGCACCAGCTTTTTCCAATCAGCCTTCAAACTAGCTACTGGCAGGCTTTGTGGTTAGCAATGACAGCTATGCCATACAACACAATTTACGAAGTTGCACAACTCAATATATATTTTTCTAAAAAAAATGCAAAATTAGGGTTAAAACTAAACATTACATAATTGCTCCACCAACTCAAAGTTCTAAAGAAAACAAGGCAGATTAAATAATGCGTTCTACGTTCTTCAAAAGGTAGTTATGTAATAAGGTTTGTGTTAACAAAAGCAGTTGCAGAATCAACCACAGGCTAACTGAGACGGCTGTTGAAAAACTGAAACCGCAGACTAAGGCTAAAACAGAGGGCTCAGGTCATATTCAGTGGGAGGGGTTAAAACTGTTGGAAGTCTGGACAAAAAGGAAATTGAAAAGGAGAGTGAACCGAGATGGTGTAGGTGCCACGGGTGAGCTGAGGCACGAAAGGAGGCTCAAGAGTTACAGCAAGAACATGCCAACTACGACAATCGTGAGATCCGTGGAATCTGTCAGACGTTCATCGGGTCACAGGAGGCTGCATAAGCGGACGCAGACATGAAAAAGGTGTGGCCTCTGCGTCAGAGGAGGAAGCACAAGGGGTTATGGGAAACTTCTCTCAGATGTGAGAGTATGTTTTGCGCATGTATGTATTTAAGGGTGGAGCTCCATGTAACAGGATCTTAACATGAAGGGAAATGCAGGCTCACTGCAACTCTCTAATGAGGAGAGGAACCTGATCAGAGTCAGATGGGGAGCCCCGAGCACACAGACCCCTGCAGAAAGTGCTGCCCGACACCCTTTGTTACCTCCAAGTGAGCTGAGACCAGCCCATGAACCATGTAACTAGGTGGTTTCCAGGTTAATGAAAAGCTGTAACTCCGGTCCCACTGTCTCTCTCTGCTAAAAGGACGTCCGCCTTCCATTCCCACACCATACCCCATGGCATCTTCACCCCCAAGCTCCCAGCTATACCAATGAAAAGGGTGTCAGGGTCAGGGGTAATTGCTGTTTACTTTGTGTGAAGCATGCTACATTAAAATCTCAAGTTCATAATTATCCAGACTCATTTGCAACGAGACAAATGTTTTAATATCAGATTTCACTTAATAAAAGACTGGATATGTAAAAACTTTCACGGCAGGGAATGTGCTGTCCTAAAACCAAGTTCACAAAAGGGATTCTGATTTTGAATCAAAACATCTTTACAAAATGCCTTGCATGCTTTGTTCCTGGAACTATTTTGTCTGCCATGCCCATTTTCTAAATTGATGTACACTGCTGTTAACCTCCTTCACTGTGTGTGTGTGTTATGGACAAAAACAAGTATCATTCAAAAAATTTTCTAAAATCCATCAGAACAAAAATTCATTATCATAAGCAATCTGCCAAAAACAAAGTCCACAGAAAAAACAGATGCTGTAAAAAGCCAGCAAAATAACTCTCAAACATCATCAGCTCCTCCACAACTTCATCTCTCGCAGAGCTATGAAATGCGATTCTCTTTTGTGGTTAAGTCAAAAATATATGTTTGACTTTCTCTCTATGACGAAAGTGGTTGTAAGTCAAACTGATTGAAGGCGGGCGCTGCAGGAGACCCTCAGATGTAAGATAGATGTACTTGTTAGCAAAAGTGAGTAACAGGGGTCATGGCTTGACTGGTCAGTGAGCACACCACAGAGAGCCAAAGTGCAACAACAAAGGCAAAAATATGTGCTGCAAGTCATCAGAAAAGAATTTTACTTTTATGCCCCATATCTAGCACAAAGTCACACATTTGCTTCCATTAACTTGACGTTTTTTTCCCTGTCAGCATTTTTAACAGATGTCCCGAGCTTTTAACTTTGTCATCATAGATTTTCTGTCCGTCTCCATTTTAAAAATAGCTCAAAACATTGTGCTATTAATTGTTTTTGATGGTTACAAAAATCTGGAAGTCAAATTTCAATACTTTGCTAAGGTTGTTGCCTCGGAGAATGAAAAAAGCTGCCAAGTTATTCTGATGTATCTTAAATACACAACAGCAGGATTTGGCCTACCGGCAGCTACTGCTGCTAAACCACAGCATCCTCTTGCTTGCTGATAAAGAGGAGAAAGATAAGCAGCCACTTTGGTTATAAGTAGGTACGCTTTTGGTCAATTTAACCTTTTCAAAAAAGAAAAAAAAGAGAAGGGGAAAGTGAAAAAAACCCTTTGATTTTGTGTTAGTGGAAAAAAGTAAATTCACTCCAGTTGCTGTTCAATTTGGACCGTTGGACATTAAAGCAGGAGCCAGTGCCTAATAAGAGCCATGCCTGAGAGAGAAACGCACACAGAGAGCAAGAGAGAGAAACCCAGCAGAGGTGTGTCTGTGTCTCGGCTCCAAGGTTCCTGCTAATAGATTTCAGCTCCCTCAGTGTCCCAATTAGCCAGTATGTATGCTCGGTTTATGAAATCATTTGTGGATATTAAGTGTGTGAACATTCGTGTCCACTGAGCATGCTTATTTACACAAGATTTATGTTTGCCTGTGTGCTTTTGTTGTTAAAAGTAGGTACCGCCCGTTGTTTAGTTACATTGCATTTTTGGCCTATTATAATTAGCAGTTTCAGAAAAACGTATCATTTGTAAGAAAAAGAAAACAAAAAGCAACACAAAAAAAAACTCAAGCCCCCCATGAGGCAAGACTAAAAGAAATCAACTTACTCAGACCCGTTTCCAGCAACAGAATGCCTATCAGCATAAACACATGGCGACACAAACAGAAAACAGATAAAACTGTCCAGTTTTAGAGCAGATTTTACCACTTCTTAGGGAAGAGCATTACAAAGAAAACAGTGAGTGCACTTTTAACCCTGACCCTGTGTGAGGACGGACAGGCAGAGCTCAAACTTACCTGTAATAAACCCTGCAGCTTCCACACGTGACCATAAATCTCACTATGGGCCTTCAAAGTATCAAATATCGACCAATACAGCACCCACTCACCCTCGGCTTTTATCCCTGTGTTTCTACTTCTGGGTTCTGGTGGTGGTACTACCTTTAATGTGCAACCAGCTCACATTTTTAAAAGGCGCGCCGGGCAATTTATTTACCAAGAAACTGCTGCCGTAAATGACAGAAAAAGCGGTACAATTTACTGACAAGTAGTGAATGGGGCAGGGGGGCTCAGAGCGAAGCCAGAGGTCTTGGCTGGCCCTGTGAAAGACTATAAAGCTTTAGTAGTAGCCCACGACCTGTTTATGGCTGGCTGAGACACTGTGGTGCGTGGCTCCTGATCACTAGGCTGCTCAACAGCTGCCTTCCTTGCATAACACGCAAAACAGGAGATGGCCATGGAAAACAGGCCATTACACACAAAGGGCGCATTTTGTGGCATCCGATTTATTTCGCAAGGCCCCGTCTTTGCCACGAAACTGCAAGCCACCCTAGAAAAGAACTAAGTGGGGCAACTCCTCCAAAACGAGATATTACCGTAAATAGCTAATACACTTTTAAGAGCAAAGGTTAAGGATAAATGGTCAAATTCTAAATTTATTTCCGATAAACTATGTGAGAAAATTGGCACTGGTGCCCCCTGTTTTTAGGGATAAGTGGTTGCGGGCTGCTGTATATCAGTTAGTGAACTCAGAATGTTGCAACGCAAACTCCACCAGGAAGATTTATGAAGAATATGTAGACTACAACAGCTTCCTTATAGCTTTAGCAAAAAAAGAAGAAAAGATTTGTAGGATTTAATGTGTGCCTTACCTCGTCTTTACTACATCAAGGGGATGCATCAGGCAGATCTCTACCAGACCTAACAAAAAATGACAGAAGAGGCAGGAATGAAAAGTCTTTCCAATAATATAATCATCATGAGTTTTCAGGACTGCTCTGGAATATTTTTGTACATAAATATTGACTAGTGCGCCAACACAGGTCATAATGCCAGCACACAAAGTAGCACCTGTAAAAGTCGACCTCATGTGTATAAACACATATCTGATGTAACTGTATGTTGTCACAAAGGAAACAAGGACACATTCTTCTGCAAATGTTTTGTGCAAGGATTGAACGAAAATGGAATAAAAGGAACGTAAAACCTTACTTAAAGATCTTTGTGTGTTCCCTTTCATTCTGAAGCATTTTCAGTTGGTGTCACTTTTTGTCCTACCTAAAGGATTTAGAAAAATTCCCTCAGAAACGCATGCAAGATTTTCACAGGACCTTATGCTTCTGCCTCACTGCAATATCAAATGTGTCTGTTTTTCTAAGAGCGATGTGCCTTGTGCCATCTTCACAAGAAAGTGGGTTTGATCTCATGATCCAGCTTTCCCAAAGAAATCATTGAGGCCATTAATTCCAAAAATGTTGCAGCCGCCAACCATGCTCCGCATGCAAACCCAGTACATCAGAGAATGTGTAAGCAGCTGGAGAATCAATGCAGCGGGGCCATCATTCAGGGACTCTGAGGTTTCGCACACACACTAACTATGTGCATCTGTGTTGAAAAGCCACTACTCTGGCATGGAGGCCTTCTGACTCAATCAGGTTTTTGTTGTTTTTTTTTTTTAAAAGTTGTGATTCTTACTGCATCTCTTCACTGGTGCTCTGAGGGCTTCCCTTGCAGATTCCACTGTGTGTACACAGCTGCTGTGCAATATGGGGTCTTTCTAATTTGCTCAATTAAACATATTGTCTATAAAAGAGTGTGTCTTCTGGGGTTTTTCCAGGGAAGTAATTATCAAGCAAAATACCACAGAAAAAAATGACTTTGTCTACAGTTGCATCTTAATGTAGGAATGGGAAAACCAAGAACTACTGAACCAGGCAACCAGTGGCCAAGAGTCAAACAAAATTCCATCTGTCACGGCTCGCTAGAGTTGCCTTTGGTTGTTAATGATACTGTGCTGAAAAAGTAAATACAAGACTGCATTGGAACGATCATCTTCTGGCCTCGCTAATAATAGCGCCAAAGAGAAGTAGGAGCATGTCAAATCTGTCAGTGGGTAATCAGATTACAAGATGAAACCAAAACCTGTCTGCCTGCTCAGTAAACGCGTGTAAACACAGGAGAGGCTGGGAGGCGACTGAACATGCTCGTGGTGATCTAGTGGAGGGAGTGTAGGGTAGGGGACAAAAAAAAAAAAAAAAGGAACGCTGTCACAATACAGCCATTATTTACACAGTGGGGGAAAAAACAAAACAAATCATCCTTAAAAATCGTTTAACAAGGTGATGTGTTTCTGTGAAATAGTAACTCTAATAAACAAAGAGCAACTCAATTCTTGTGCCGCACTTCTCCCTGTTCTCATCTGTTCTATGTACACCGGGTCAGAAGTAATGTCGTTACTGATTATTTCAACACTAAAAAGACTTGTGTTGCAACTGTGGCTTTTCCATTTATTCATTCATGCATAGCAAACAAAATCAAAATGCTCTCAGTTGGATGGGAATTTATTAGATAGAGCAAAAAGAAAGGGCTGACATTCTAACCTGTCAATTCTCTTGAATCGTGATACAAACTTGTGAGCCTTCTGAAGAGTCAGGTAGTCTGGAAGTCCCCCATTTGACAAAAAAAAAAAGGGATGGTGCAACATAACACACATTATTGGTGTAAGAATGTAAAATAAACACATTTGCTGACAAGAGAAAATGAAAACATTCCATTACTTGTATTACAGCAAAAGAGCGCCCTCCACTCGTGCTGGAGATTAGACGGCTATTTCAAAGGACGTTCCAAGCCATCACGCATGCTTAATGCTCTCTTATTTTGAGCCACTTTGTAAACTTCAGAATAACAAGGACCCATCATTAAAAATGAGTTAACATTAATTCTGCTACAGGGAAAACAGCAAACCGCTCAGTATTTCTCACTGAATTCGCGTGTACACCATCTTTGAATAAGATCAATCTAAATGTGAGGCAAAAGACAAGGCGCTCTGTGTGTAACGCTGCACCTCCAACACAGCAGTTGGAAAAAGAAAGAGTGATGAAAGGCAGAAACGCAAAACTCTTGTGTTTATCTGAGAATCTGACGGGCTCGCAGACATGACACCTTAAGAACAGCTGATGGCAGATGAGATGACAGGCTGTCCGAGTCCAAAGACAAAACTAAAACACTAACGTTTAACTTTGTAATCCCAAACTGACCTTTGTATGACAGCAGATCATTTATGTTCATCAGCTGTGAGAATATGCTATCACTTTTTTTTTCCTGCATCAGAAAAAATAAAGTCCTGTGTTAGCTTTCAGTTTATTCATCAATGAAAATAACTAAATAAATATAAAGCGTGCACTTGAAGTGTACTTTACAGAAAACTGTGCTTGATGTTGTCATGAATTCTGCTTTAATTAGGCTGATATATCTCATGCCTGAGTAATAACAAAACCTGTGGTGTTTAATGCCATGCAGAGCCGACTGTATGTCATTTATCTTGGTCTTATTGGGACACATCATCAAGTATCAACACCCCTGAGAGGCAGCTTCTCCCTAAACTGTGCCCCAGCTCATCCCACTCATCTACTCCAGCTGTCAGCACATGCTACTGTTTAATCATAGAGTGCAGCAGTCGTGAACCCACACACTCTTGAGAGCACTTCACACCCCACCAAAGCCTCCCTCTGATGCAGTTACGGGGCTCACAGACGGGGTGATGCCACAAAAGTTGAGCCCTTTCCTATTCCACTTCCTCGGTCTGGCTCCAGCTTCTGCTGCAGGCACCCACCTCTTGCAGCTGCGAGGAGGGGCGCAATATTACAGCGGTGTGCCATCTGGTTGACGTTTATGGCTTTGCTACGCATCAGTGGGCGACATACTGGGAGATTTCATTTTTTTTCAGGGCTCTTTTGTTTCTGAACCACAATGGTACTGACAGGGCTTGTCATCCACTGCTTTGTAGGCAGACACTCACACAGATGCACAGAGGCTAATGCCAAGGGGCTGTACGGAAAGCATCATGTTATATTATCATATATATTTGTATGTGTGAGTCATATGCTGGATTTGAAACAATGGGTTTTCGTATTGTATAAAAAGATCAAATAGCAGAAATAAAGTGTTCAGACCTCAAAAGTGATGTCATGCTATGTGTAAGTTGGAAGCAGCGTTCAAGTCTCCTGGGTCAAACAGAGGGAGAGCTTCACTGGTAGCACTAGCAGCACCACTGCACTATTAGCAAGGCATTCCAGGCTGTCTGATGAGCTGCTATCTGTAGAGAGAAGATAATATGTCATGCAGATGAGATGATTATCTGTGTTGGTTTTGCCTGGGGAATGCACGCAGTTGGCTCCCACACAAAAGTGCGAAAGAAAAACAATAGAGCACCAGGGAGTGATTGCTCAATGGGTGCAGGTGTCATCCATCATGCCGAGACACACACTGAATGACTGTAATTCCCAGCAGCCATGTGGAGAAGGTCACTGCCACAGGAAGCAGGACTCACCCGGGGAAAATGGACTTATACACAAGAGACGTGCTGCCTTGTCATTTCACACGCTTATTTGACCCAGCAAAAGCCGCGGCCTCTGATCAGCGCTTACAAACAGTCCTGTTCATCACGTTGACAAAGTTTAGTTGATATTTCTCAAAAAACTTTGAAAACTCAACTGTGCTCAAATTATTGACTGTTTCAGAATGATATATCAGATGAACTTGTTGCTTTAGTTAAGATGATGACACAAACAACATAACTTGTGTTTAAATTTATTGAAAGTGTTTCACAATGCTAATTGTTTACAAAGCTGAACATTTCTTGGTTCATTAGGAGCCAAGGCAGAAAATGAGAACTTGTCTAGCAGTTTCGAGGTTTGAGACGAGACACAAGAGTGTCATGATGACAGATCCTCACCACTCAGGTCTGTCCTGGTTTTGACACAAGCTCCTGACTAAACCTGCAGGTAATATCTCATGCCTCCATGTCCTCCATTAACACTTCTCAAAACACATCTGATGAGGAATGCTAAACAAAGCCTGTGAGGTGATATGCCCCAGCAATTTGTTAACAAAGCTGACATGGTATCATCAGAGGCAGTGCATGGCGTTCTGACATCAGATCTGATTTGTTTCAGGTTCATTCAAAGCCCAGGTAAAAAAAGAATGAAGACAGTCATGTGAACAGTGGAAAGATGCATAAAAATATGCATCAGTGGACCTCATATGTTAACTACTGTATATAAACAAATACAGTCCTATTTTGAATTGAAAGGGTCTTTCAGCTTGGGTCAGATAAATACAGTTACAAAGTAAGTCATGCAAGTATCAAAATATGACTTGGGTAGAAACTTGTTTTCTAAGAAAACAGCTCAGACTATAACTCCAATTTAGCCACAATAGAACTGTAACAGAATATCAACTAGTTTTTCCACAATAATGCAATATTTCATAAGACAGGGAAACTGTATTAGGAGTGCGGGAGAGTCACAGTTAACACCCCTCACAGCCCCCTCATTCTGCACTTGTAAAAGCCAAAAGGGTGCAAAAGAAAAACAAGCAGATTAGGTTGTTTGATATTATTAAAGTGAGGTACATCACCCATACTTATTAGCTGGTCTACAATACAGAATATAATGTTAAATCGTAAACATTTTCATGTCATTTAGACAGAAAAAAAAACTCTTTCTTAAACACACACACACACAAAAAGGGAGCTTCAACTGCAATCCTAAATTAAAGTTTTTTTTACCAAATGCTGACTAATCTCACATGGAAATCCCTGCTTCTGAACCCTCCAAATGGCTTTTGTTGTGCAAAATATTTCATCCCCCCCCAAAAAAAAACATTGAATTGCTTACAGTGGGTTTTCTTCTCCTTATTGGGTATACACTCATAAATATCATGATTACCTTGCTTCTATGTCCACCCCTTTTCAAATTTTAAATAGATTTTGTTAAACCATGCACCAAGTCACCAGCTTTTACTGACTTCTTAGATTTGTTACACTGAGAGGCTGGCTGTTTGGGCCACTGTGTATGCTGTGGCTGACATGTGGTAATGCCATCAGGGCATGCATTGCTACATAAAAATGTAATCAAACCATTAGAAACATGGGAAAATCTGTAAAGAAAAAAAAATTGGGCAGACAGAAACTGAAGTCTCCCATTTCCATCATTCTTCAGCCAGGAATTTTCTGAAAACTGAAATAATTTCTAAATAAGAAGGAACCTCGGGTAGAAATGTAATGCATCACATTTAATTTTATCCACAAAATGAATCTAAAAGACTGAAAAACAGGGAAATCCTTTACCCAAATGTCTGTTACTTATGCTTTTTTTTGTGTTGCATTTGAATAGCACTCTTGTTATACATGCTCCCTGATTTCTTCAAGTTACCCTCTCTGCTGTAGATCAACTATCACATACTGGTTGTATTGTAAATCTTTTTTCTATCTTCTGGCGCTGTCTTGAAGAAGACATATTGGCACATTTCTCCCACCGGCTAAACACAGAGAACGTTGGGTATGTCCCAGGCTGTCGAACTTAAAGTGAACTCTGTGATATTGATGAATGTGTCAACGTGGGTGCGAGTGCGTGCGTGTGATTGGCTGAACTTGAGCGGACGAGCTAATGACAAATGTCGGTTGTTAAATGTCAGTGGCGTCAGTGCTCCGGCACTCCAGTACTCACACAGCTTTACTGACACTCATGTTGAATTTTTATCTTCCTATACGCGACCATCTGATGCAAATTGCCACACCAGAGGAGCGGAAGTGGTGACAAGAGGAGAAGAAAAGGGTACAACAGAGATGCAAAACCTGTTGTAACGGATATTTAAGAGGAGGTGTCATCTCGGACTGATTTCTTTCATGAGGTTCGCTTTTTAAACAAATTGATTCCAACTCCTGAAGTCACCTGTCACTAACTAAATACACTGCATAATCCCCCAACAAAGGCTTAAGTGTGTAAAATTTAGACCCACAAATACAATAGCATCACGCAGCGTTGAACTCTTCAGGTGCTTCAAGCTTCTACATTGTTCTCAAAAACAAGGTTTTCCTAAGGCCCTGATTTATTAAACCAGGCAAATCAGCATGTGGTTGCAACTCATATAAAGTGCAGATGGGTGTGTCTCGTTCTGCCGGTGGCATCCAAAAGCTACACATAGTCACAACCCGCTTATTTTAATAATGGCCATATCCGTCTACTAGAAGAATTGAACATGGAAATGAACATGGGGTCACAAACAATCAGATTTGTTGATAGAAGAAACATGAAACAAACTGCACTTGTGCTGCAGGACACACCACATTAGCATGAATGCAATTAACCGCTCAGTTTAGTACTTGTGCTTACATGGGCTCCTTGGCTCAGTATTAAAAAAAAAAGCCACTGTTAATCAGGTCCGTATAGAAAATGCCCACTTTTATTCATCAAATTTTTGACATAATTTCTCTCTAGCATGTAGCCAAATAATAATATGGTTGTCCAAGCAGCCTATTGTCCACTTGCATTTCAACCTAAACTCTGAAAAGTGTGAACATTTGATAATCATCTCCCTCAATTTTGAGTTCTGAAAAGGATCTATGCAAAAAAGGGAACAAATGTAAAGATATCTGTGTCCATGCATTTCAGGAACTGAAAAATAATAGCAATGAGTTTTTCTAGCATAGATTTAGAAAATCAATAGTAATTTTGGGCCTAAAAGTTTTTCAAGATCAGTAGAGCTGTCATAACTATTCAGATCGAAAAAAGAAAGCTTCTGTGCATGATATTTAATGTGCATACATTTTAGGTTTTACGAAAGTTGAAAAATAATTTGAACAGAGGAAACTAGTCAGATTAACTTTGATTGCCTGGATGTGCTGTAAGAAGGATTCCTATTAAGCTGTATATGACCCACCACATACTACTTGTGAACACCACTGTGTTTGAGCCATAAGATTGATTTCCCCTAACTTATGTCAATCCTGAAAATTCATGGGGGGAAGAAAATAGATACTCAGGAACTCACTGTTCCTGGGATATACTTGAGCCTTGATGGAAAAAAATCTCCAAACAAACGCTTGACTTTATGACACACATTGCTGCAAATATGCTTTCTATCAGTAATAAATTGGGCAATTTGGGTTCAAAATTGTGTAACGTTTGTCAAAATTAGCAGACTGAGTGAGGCTCTATGTTGAGAATTTTTAAAATAAAAATATTATGAACCGAAGCCTGTTGCAAGCATAAACAAAAGGGAAAATAATATGTGCGTGTGTGTGCACTCAGTGGATGATTATGAAGAAAGTCAATATACCAATTCAAATTGATACAATATAAATAAGGATTCTATCTGTTGTGAGACTCAGTAAAATTATTCGCAATCATGCAGCTGCCTCTACAGGCCCATCTCAAAGTAAACTTTGTAAACCAGAAGTTTTTACTCTAAGAATGTACCTTGCATAAACACTGGCATAAATGGTTTTACCTGACAACAGTAGTCAATCACTTCATTCCTATGGTCTCCGCTCTGTGTCCTTTCGGTTTTAATGACACGCTTACAGTTTCAGTCCAGCTTTCAAACCACAAATTGCTTACTTGATGGTTATTGGCAGCTAATACTTTGACTGATGTGACTACAAATGCATGAATATGAGCAAGGATAATAAATAATCACAATATAATATTATCAAAAGTTGGTGGGATATTCTATGCTTGGTTTGTTTGTCTGTTTTTTTTATTGCCTTAATTTGGAACGCTGCCATGAAGCTGTGCCAGCTGGCAAATGTAATCCTGAATGGTTAGTCCTATCACAAGTAACCACAGTACAGAGCACAAGCGGCTCATTGCAAAAGCAAAGTCTTTTCTTCTGTCAGCCAATAAGG